CTTTATATAGGCACTTAGTGCTATGAAGTCTTTTCTTAGCGCTGCTTTTACTGTATCCCATATGTTTGAGTATGGTATGCCTTCCTTTCCACTGAATCCTAGGAAATCTTTACTTTCTTTATTTCCTTCTTGACCCAGTGGTAATTAAGTTGAGAGTTTGTAGGCTTTCTCTTGTTTCTATTGCTGTTGAACTCTAGCTTTAATCCATTGTGATCTGATGAGACACAGGGGGTTAATTCCTTATTTTTCTGTCTGTTGAGACTTGCTTTGTCACTGATTATATGGTTACTTTTAGAGAAGTTTCCATGAGGTGCTGAGAAGAAGGTGTATTCTTTTGTGCTTGGGTGAAATGTTCTGTAGATATCTGTTAGGTCAATTTCAGTAATAAAATCCATTATTTCTCTGTTTAGTTTCTGTCTTGGCAACATGTCCGTTGGTGAGAGTGGGATGTTGAAGTCTCCCACTCTTAATACGTGAGGTTGATGTGTGATTTCAGTTTTAATTTTTTTTACAAATGTGGGGCCTTTGTATTAGGGACATCTTTATGTATTTTCCCCTAATGAGTATGGAATGTCCTTCTCTACCTCTTTTGATTAATTTTGGTTTGAAGTATATTTTGTTAGATATTAGGAGAACTACACTAACTTTTTTTAGGTCCATTTCATTGGTAAAGTTTTTTCCAACCCTTTACTTTGAGGTGATGTCTATTTTTGATGTTGAGGTATGCTTCTTGTATGCAGCAGAAGAATTCCATCCTGTTTTCATATCTATTCTGTTAGTATCTATTTACTGGGCAGTTGAATTCATTAATATTAAGAGATATCAATGACCAATGCTTGTTAATTACTGTTTTTGCTGTTGTTCATGGCGTGAGTGTGTGTGTGTGTGTGTGTGTGTGTGTGTGTGTGTGTGTATGAGAGAGAGAGAGCGAGAGCAAGAGAGAGAGAGAGACAGAGACAGAGAGAGAGATTTCTTTTGGTTTTGCTGGTGAGAGATCATTTATTTTCTGTGTTTTAATGATTGTAGTTAACCTTCTTTTGGAGTTTTCCCTTTGGTATCTTCTGTAGGCAGGATTTGTGTGGATAGCTATTGAATAAATTCGACTTTATCATGGAATATCTCATTTTCTCCTTCTATGTTGACTGAAGGGTATAGTAGTGTGGGATGGCATCTTCAGTTTCTTAGAATTTTTAAGACAATGCCCAAGTTCTTCTGGCGTTTAAAGTCTTCATTAAGAAGTTGGATACAATTCTAATAGATCTGCCTTTATAGATTGCATAGCCATTTTCTCTTTCAGCTTTTAATCTTCTTTCCTTTCTCTGTATGTTCAGTGCTTTGATTATCATGTGTTTAGGGAACTTTTTTATGGTCCAGTTTATTTGGTATTCTACATGCTTCTTGTACATTTATAGGCATCTTCTCTTTAGGAAAATTTTCTTCTATGATTTTGTTGAAAATATTTTCTGGGCCTTTGAGCAAGAATACATTTCTGTCTTCTATTTCTATTTTTTTATACGTTTGGTCTACTCATAGTGTTTCAGATTTCATGACTGTTTTGTATCAGAATTTTCTTAGATTTAATTTTTTCTTTGAGCTATTAACCTATTTCTTCTATCATGTCTTCAGCACCTGATATTGTCTCTTCCATCTCTATTATTCTGTTGGTGATGGTTTTGTCTGTAGACCCTGTTCATTTACTTAGATTTTTATGGTCAGAATTTCCTCAATGTGTGTTTTTATTATTTCTATTTCCTTTCCAGGTCTTTGACAGTTTATTAATTTCTTATAGCTGTTTGGTTTTTTCTTCATTTTCTTTAAGGGATTCATTAATTCTCTCCAATTTTCTTCCTTTTTTTAGATTTTTAAAAATTTAAGTTAGAACCAATCTTGTTTCACAGGTCAATCCTAGCTCCCTCTCCCTCCCCTACTCCCCCTCCCTCCCCAGCAGGTCCCCCAGTCCCCCACCCTATTTCCAGTCTGATCCCCAAGGAGGGTGAGGCACTCCATGGTGGATATCCAGTAACTGTCATTTCAACTAGGTCAGGGCCTAGGTCCTCCCTCCAAGAGTTCTGGCTGAGAAAGCCTCCCATATTGTGGCATGGGCACTCAACTTCTATTTGTACTCCAGGAATAAATACTACCCAAGGCCTCATAGATTACCTAGGCCTCCTAACTGACACCCACATTCAGGGGGTCTGGGTCAGCCCCATGCTTTCCACACAGCCATCAATCTGGAGTTCAAGAGCTCCCCCTTGTTCAGGTCAGCTGTGTCTGTGGGCTAAACCAGCCCACTCTTAACTCCTTTGTCCATCAGTTCTCTTTCTGACACTGCATTCCAGGAGTTCAGTTCAGTGTTTGTCTGTGGGTATCTGCCTACGCTTTTATCAGTCGCTGTATGAAGCTTCTGTTTCAGAGACTCTCTGGCAGTGGGATTGTATGCTGGCACTCCCCTGATTCATGTCTAAAATCCATAAATGAGTGAGTACATACCACATTTTTCTTTTTGTGACTGGGTTACCTCACTCAGTATGGTTTCTTCTAGTGCTTTCAATTTGCCTGCAAATTTCAAGATTCCATTGTTTATTCCCTCTGAATAGTACTCCATTGTGTAAATTTACCACATTTTCTCTATTCACTCTTCAGTTGAGGGACATCTAGGTTGCTTCCAGGTTCTGGCTATGAACGTAGTGGAATAGACATCCTTGTTGTATGAATGTGCATCTTTTGGGTATATGCCTAAGAGTGGAATTGCTGGTAGACTGATTCCCATTTTCCTGAGGAATTTCCATACTGATTTCCAAAGTGGCAGTACAAGTCAGCACTCCCACCACCAGTGTAGGAGTGTTCCCCTTTCTCCATATCCTCTCTAGCATAAACTGTCATTGGAGGTTTTGATTTTAGCCATTCTGACAGGAGTAAGATGATATCTCAGAGTTGTTTTGATTTGCATTTCCTGGGTGGCTAGGGATGTTGAGCACTTTCTCACATGTCTCTCAGCCATTTTAGACTCCCCTTATGAGAATTCTCGATTTAGTTCTGTACCCCGTTTTTTGATTGGATCCTTTGGTGTTTTGGAGACGTGCTTCTTGAGTTCTTTGTAAATTTTGGAGATCAGCCTTCTGTCAGATGTGGGGCTAGTGAATATCTTTTCCCATTCTGTGGGCTGCCTTTTTGTCTTGCTGACTGTGTCCTTTGCTTTACAGAAGCTTCTCAGTTTCAGGAGGTCCCATGTATTAATTGTCGATCTTAGCGTCTATATTACTGGAGTTATGTTCTAGAAGTTGTCTCCTGTACCAATTCTTTAAGGGATTCATTAATTCTCTCCAATTTTCTGTCTTCTTTTTCCTCAATTTCTTTTAGAAATTTATTTATTTCCTCTTTGAGGGTCACTATCACCTTCTAAGGTCTTTTTCTTGTATTTCAGATGCACTTGAATATTCAGAGCTTGTTTTAGTAGGATAGCTGGGCTCTGGTAGTAATGACATATTATCCTGGATGTTGTAGATTATATTCTCATGCTGGCCTCTGGGAATTTGGCTTTGGGGTCTAAGTGCCATCTTTTGAGCTTGTCTTAGTTAGATGGAGGTTTTTCCCCTTGGTTTCTGTTTCCTTTCTGGTTTTCTGACCAGAGTGTCCTCTGATTGAGCAAGAGGTCTCCACTTGAGTTGGGGGCTGGACTTCTTGTGTTCAGGCAGGGGTCTCCACTTATCTTGGGAGCTGGGATATGGTGACACAGAGAGGGTTGTGATTGGGAGTTAGGTGGGGAGGTCACTGAGAGAGCAGGGAAGTTCTACTGCTTGGTGGCCTAGCTAGACTACTGTTGGCTGGAGTGGTCTCTGGTAGAGCATGGTGTCAATTAATAGTTTATTGTTTCAAAACTTTAGGGAGTTACTGTGTTTTATTTAAAATCATGTAACATATCTACATGTGAGATTGAGTATACAAAAAGAATAAACCAAACAGTGTGTGAAAATATAGTATTTGTGAATACATGTCCTTAGACAATGTCTGAAAGGAGTGACGAAGGCTTCATGTCAGGATAAACATCAATCTTACTCAGTTGTGAACCACACAAGCTACAATAATGACTGGCCTATATAGACATGCACACTCGGAGAAACAACCACTTTTTGATTGGGTGTAAGTGCTGCTCCATAAGGTGAAACCCAATTCTGGTACCATTATTAGGCTAAAAACCTGTGGCTAGACACATCATAGGCTCTAGGTAAGACCTACTGCTAAATGGACATAGTATTAAATGCATTATCAATGACTTATCTTTATACCTATAGATTAAACAAAATCTCAACTATTATTGGAAGAGCATCTATTTGCAGTATCTGGTGATTAACACAGATATCCGCAGTTGGTCAGCCTGCAGAGACTATAGTAAGACTGTGGAAGATTCAACCCTAAATGGGACATCCATGTGTAAAAGGGAACTAGTTCCTCATGCTCACAGATAGCACTAGAGAAATCAGTAATGTCATACTTTTCTCTTCGGTGGATGGTATTTAGATCTGTTTTTTACCCAGAAGACTGGGAGTGGATATTATTAATAGTCTAGTGATCCTTTGCTGTAAGGACAGGCTTCACTGAATCCCCAGACTACTGTGTGTATCACAGACTCCTGCGTATTGTTTATCCGTCAATAGAACAATTCTTATAGAAGAGGTCCCATGTATCTTGCAAAAAGTCTATTCTTGAGCTTTTTACAGACCCTTTCTCCCCAGACCATTATCCTGAGCATTGCTCCTTGGTCAACAGAACCCACTCTTAAGGAAGAGGTCAGAGGTTCTCGGAAAAGGACATCTGCATTGCAACCGAGTTTCTATGTAGTCATGTTTTCAGCTTTGTTGTGATAGAAGTCACGAGGAAACTTTTCCCAAAGTTGTACTGTGCTTAACTATGTGAAAAATAAACTGCCCAGTATCAGACTCTTGGAGTAAGCTGTGTTAACTCAGCTTTCTTCTGGTCTCACATGGGTCATTCCTCTGCAGGAAAGCCCACGTCTGTGTCACACTTCTTCTCTGAGAGGCTCAGGATCAGTGTGGAAGAGAAGGAAGAAAGAGTGTAAGAACTAGAGGTGTTGGATAGCTACAAACAAACACGGTCTTCTGGACATGGGAGGGCAGTGGTTATGACGGAATTCACGAGAGCTGTGCAAGCTTCAGCCAGGTCAGATCCTAGGGTGGAGAGGAGGTGTGGACACCAAGCTCCACCTTTAGCCAAAGAGCTGCTGGCAATTGATAGCTGCTGGGACAGGAGAATCTGTTTTCTTTAAGAGTATAGCCCCGTTTGGTCAAACATACTCCACTGGAAGGTTATATATCCAAGAGTATATGGGATTTGATAGGGTAAAAATGAAAGCGACCACAAAGTTAAGTGAGCTGGGAAAGGGGCTTGTATCTGGGAGGAATTAGAAGAGGGGGTGAATAGGAGCAAAACATACTGTAAAAATTTCACAGAACTAGTCAAAATGTACATGCATGGAGTGAAAAAAGTTTGCCATATAAAAAGGAAGAAAATGCTGGTGTGTGTGGTATAAGAGACTGAAACACATAGGGGCTGTGGGATAATGCTCGTGTATACTGTAAAGATGTGTCACTCATATTGATTTAATAAAATGCTGATTGCCGGTAGCCAGACAGGAAGTATAGGTAGAGCAACCAGACTAGGAAAATTCTGGGAAGAGGAAAGGAGAGATACAGTCACCAGCTAGACACAGAGAATGCCTTACTGAGAAAACCTACCAAGCCATTTGGCTAAACATAGGCAAGAATTATGAGTTAATACAAGTTATAAGAGCTAGATAGTAATAAGCCTGAGTAACAGACCAAACAGTTTATATTAATATAAGTCTCTGTGTGATTATTTGGGACTAAATAGCTGTGGGACCAGGTAGGACAGAAGCTTCTGTCTACAAATGGTGCCCAGTGTTGGGCAACTACATCCGCATAAATCCAGAGAGAGCTTGGGAAGGGATTCTAAACATTAAGAAATAGAGGAAAGCATGGCTTCTTGGTAGCAGCATTTTTTCAGGTGGGCTCTGTTTGCTAGAGTCAAGCAAAGGCACAGCTCCTTTAAGAGATGGTTACTGACTCAGTATTAGTAGCCAAAACTGCACAACTCTTTTAAGAGGTCCTGCTACCAAACACTTAAATGGAGTTTATGAGCATCTTGTGCATATTTCTTGGTGGTGTCATGCACGAGAAACTCTGCAGAGTTGGGACAATAAAGATGGTTCCTTCCAGTACTTCTACCATGAAGCTAGACTCCCAGGAAGCCAAGGAATGGGGCAGTGCCAGCCTCCAAAGCTGTAGTGTTAATCCTAGCCATGCAGCTTAGCAGAATAAAGACTCGTGTGGTCACAAAATGATAGAGGTATACATAAAGAAAGATTAAGATTAAAGAAAAAAACAAAAAGAAAAAGAAAAAATCAACAGCAGCAAGAAAACCACTCTAAAATGTTTACAGTGTGTCTGAAAATACAAGTAGGCTTGGGATAGAAAAGAAAAAGGAGAGACAACATCCTTAGAAAACAAATAGAGTAGCTGCCCATGGTGGCATAAGCCTTTATTCCCAGCACTCAGGAGGCGGAGGAGGCAGATCTCTGTGATTTGAAAGCCAGTCTGGGCAACAGAGTGAGTTCTGGGACAACCAAAGATACACAGAGAAACCCTGTGTACCTTAAAAAATAAAAATTAAAATAAGAGAAATAAAATAATAAAAAATGTTACGTAAAGATGGAAAATACACAGATAGTCTAGATACTGTATGTTGTTGTGTTTCTTTAAATTGTTTGACTGCTGAGAAAGGAGAAACAGCTGCTAAAAGATATTTGATTATAAATGCTGCTGGATTAATCTAACCTATATGTTTTGAAAATGCCTTGACTTTAAAATTTAAGTCAAAGGTATTTTACTTTGGATAAGATGTTTTGCTTTTGTTTCCACAGGAAATAAGATACTGTGGATTCATTCTGTGTTAAGAAAATTAAAGTTTTATTGAGGAAGACTCCTTGAAATATCTCCAAAGGGAACAGATGACCCAGATGGTCCAACATTTCAGAGTACCTCTGTTTCAGTTTCTCCTGAATTCTGCATCCAAAACAACTTCAAGGCTGCTGGTTGAGATGATCCAGCCTCACAGAATACTTCCCAGTTAATACTTGGCCATAATCCTAAATTTTCTTTGGCTCCCCAAAGGATTACCCGCACCCTCAATTTGCAGAATGTAACCTAGAAAACTACACCCACATTCCCAAAAATGGATTATGGATATTTGTCTTTGTTTATTGTGTTTGTTACAAGTTGTTATAGATAATGGTCAGGAACAAAAGCTAAACAAAGGAGATTAGATCTGGGGTTCATGTTTTGAAAAGAAAGAAAAATAATGCTCTTTTTCACTGTAAAGATTTGTCACCTGTATATATTTAATAAATCACTGATTGTCCATCACCCAGGCAGGAAGCATAAGTGGGGGCAACCAGACTAGGAGAATTCTGGGAAGAGGAAAGGAGAGACAAGCCACCCTGCTAGACACAGAGGAAGTAAGATGAGAATTCCTTACTGAGAAAAGTTACCAAGCTTGTGGCTAAACATACATAAGTATGGGTTAAAATGATTTGTAAGAGCCAGATAATAATAAACTTGAGCAATAGACCAAACAGTTCATAATTATTATAAACATCTGTGTGATTATTTGGGACTAAAAGGCTGCAGGACCAGGTGGGATAGAAACTGTACTACATTTCCTGTGAAAACAAACTCAGAAGCCAGATATACTGGCACACCCCTTTAATCTCAGCTGTTGGGAGACTGAGGTAGACAGAAATCTGCATGGGCTGCATTGTATCTGACCAATCAGGGTACATGACAAGACCCTGTCTCGCTAAACCAACCACAACAACTAAAGCCAATTCAATACCCAACATTACAAAGTCAGCGAATGACTGGCAGAGTGAATCTCCTACTGCAAACCTGTCTCATTTTTCCTTGCTGACTTTAGTCACTAGCTGTCTTGGTTGACTTCGTTTCCAGATGGGAGGACATGTTGGGGGTTGTGCTGTTAAATTGTTTTAAGCTGCCACTTGCTTGGAGAGCACTGAGTCCATAAGAAGATCATGTTGAAAAAAGGAGAAATTAGGATTAACAAGTAGAATCACAAAGTGGAAAATACTTACTCTAATAATTTATTTCTTTCATGTATCCCTATTGACACAGCATGAAATAGAATAGGCTGGAATTTAAGCCTACTTGTAAGTATATAGGTGGAACCTGAATTTGCCTTCCAAGCAAGAGTCTGCATTTGTTTTAGAAAAAACGTTTAATGAGATGCCAGATGTTATAGACAAAAGCAAAGAGTTCTGTAAAAGGAGATGGTGAACTTCCCGTAATATATCATTAAACTTCCTTCTTATTGGTGTGGAGTGATATATCTGCTTACTTCTTTCAGGGAAAAAATATAATCATTTCTTGTAATTTTTATTGACAGAGTATAAAATTGCTCTCCCTCCATTATGATCTGGGCCTTCTCTCAATTGGAAGATACAAGCAAAGATTAGCCTGTCACTTAATTGTTGATATGGGAACTGAGCAGAGGTTAGTCCTCTCTGAAACCTCCTTGAGGAGCTGTAAGACCTCTGAGTGACAGGGGATGCTGGCAGGAAGGAGAGGAATAAAAGGACCAGCTACAGCCATCTGCTTCCCAGTCACTCTGTGACACACACAGCTTTCAATAAGTTAGTTTCCCCTAATACAAGTGGTGTGATCAGTGGTTGGTGAGCACCTGCTAGGTGGGTATATTAGGTTCTTTTCCCGGTGCTGTGTTAAAATACTCTGAAAAAGGCCACTTAAGGTAGAAAGAGTTTATTAGGTTCCAATTCAAGTTTAGAGTTCACCATGACCAGGAAGTCACAGTCTCAGATGTCTGGGAGAACTGGTCACATAGCATGCACTCAGAAACAAAGAGAAATGAATTAATGCCTGCATGATACTGCTCAGCTTGTCCTGTCCCTTTTATACAGTCTTCACTCCCTAACCCTGCCCAGGAAATCATGACAATCCCTCAGACGATCCTAGAAGCTCTCTTTAATCTAGTCAACCCTTCACAGATGTGCTCTGAGTCTTGGCTCCTAGGTGTTGAGCTGACAATAGCAATTATTAGAGTTGGGCACTAAAATTTTTTAAAGGAGGTAGATTTCAAGTGCTATAATGAAAAGTCTCCAAATTGCTTTCATTCCAAACCTAGCTTTCATTGTGGCCAGATTAGCGAGAACCAGGGCTGGCTTTATGAGTGACGAATAAAGATTCATAAGCTGCTATCACACTGATCACACGCCAAAGACCAACCAATGGAAGGCTCAAAGCTGTCAAAAGTTTACGTTTACTCCATGACTACTGACTATAAAGGAAAATGACAAGCACAGCCATTTTCTTTCTTCTGTTCCAATGTTTTAGGCTGATTAGAGCAAGCACTACAAGGCTAAAATAAATGATATTGAGGTGAAACGTTTCCTCATTGGTTGTCCTGAAATGGTGGGGTGCTGCCCAAAGCTTGGGTCACTCTGGAAGAACAGCAGTTTTATCTTATTCACTAGAAGTTACAAGGAACAAAGGCCCTGGACAGTGAGTTCTGTTCCTTCCCTGGAGTGTCTCCTTATCTTCTAGGGTGAACTGTTTATCTCCTGCTCCACTTAAGGTGTTAGCTTTCTCTCACTTCCCTCCTTCCATCCCTCTCCTCCTGGAAGCAGTCAAGTGTTCTGGAACATCTTTCCGGGTTCCACAGCCACCTCGTCCAACATGAACACACAGACACTATATTAAATATGAAACTGTTGGCTGATGACTAGGTCTTCTTATTGGCTAGCTCTGTTCTAATTATTAACCCATTTCTATTAATCCATGTATTTCCACGTGGTCTTATCTTACTGGAGAATGTCTCACTCACGACTTCTCTTCCCTGGGATCACATGATGACTCCTCTCTGCCTACACTTCCCAGAATTCTCCTCATCTACTAGACCCACCCATCTTGCTGCCATATTGGCCGCAGTGTTTTATTCATCAACCAGTAAGAGAAACATATGTGCAGAAGACATCCCCATCAGTCAAGATGGCAGGCTTCCTTGACCTGGTCTCTCTGATTCCCAATGAATTGTCCATGAGTTCTCTTCTGAGTCTGTCTTCAAAATGAGTTCTCTTCTGAGTCTGTCTTCAAATTCTCTTTTAATAACAAAAAGAACGTGCAGAGAGGACTTTGTTTCCAAGTGATATAAAGAGAGTTATGGCTTACTGAAGTTCTTTAAACTTTCTAATGGGGGAATGTCCTTCTGTATGCTGTGAGTATACATTTCTCTTATTGGCTGATGAATAAGTCTGTTTTGGCCACTGGACAGACAGAATTTAGCCAAGTGGGAAATTGAAACAGGGATAGAGAAACGTAGTAGGTGTAGCCAGGCAGACACCATGTAGCTGCCGAGGAAGCAAGAGACCCGGGCATTGCAGGTCAGCCAAGATAATGTAGAGATACGTAGATTAATAGAAATGGGTTAATAATTAAGAGAGAGCTAGCCAATAAGAAGCCAGAGCTATATGCCCAACAGTTTATAATTAATATAAGCTTCTGTGTGTTTATTTGGGAGTAAACTGCTGCAGGACCAGGCAGGATAGAAAGTGCCATCTACATCTTTCTTTATAAATTCTACTCCCTAGACTTGGCTGCCTTCTGAGGAACTTGGGTAAAAAACTACATCCACAGGATGCTTCAGAGAGCCTACTAACATGGAGAGGCAGAATACAGAGGAAGCAGGCAGTTAGGAATATTGGCAGCTGCACATCTGGCTTCCAGAGGATGTGTTTGTGGACTGTGCTAGCCCTTCCAGATTTGGTGGAAATAAGAACCCTGACAGGGCCCAGCATTATTGATGTCTGAAGTATCTATTTTACATTTAAGGTGATATAGAGACAGAACACTTATATGTGTATATAATATAATCTTCCATTTGCCTAATAAATGCCTCTTACCATGTATTTCATTTTATTGTACACAGGTAGCTTTAAAATTCTAAGCTTTGGAATGCTGTTTTGGGCTATTCTAGCTATTAGATATTTGCGAATGAACTTCTGGGATGCTATTCCTTGCACTAGAAATATGCTAGAAAGGGAACATACTGGTACGAGGAAGCCACCAATGAGGCAGGGACTGGGTGGCCAGAGAAAAGTTCCTGGTGGTGGAGACTCTGGAATAGAATTGTGAAGAACTAATCAGAATAACCATTGGAGCATGTTGGGTGAAAATAAGACAGCCTTGTAGGGAGAATTGCAAGCACCCAGAACAGGTTGAGCTGTACAAAGAGTAAAAATGTGTGTGTGGAAAAAGAAGGCGGGAAAAGTCTACCTACCAAGGTGGCAAGAAAGGACAATGGGGAAGACGTAGAACGGAGTGAATTCAAACAAGAAAGTGCTTTGATTTTGTTCCTTTCCCCTCTGCATTTCTAAGGTAAAGAGGTGGGAGAGGGATTGTGTGTGTACCTTTGCAAGTACTGGGGGATCAATGTAGAGTGAGGAGCAATGCATTTACTTCACACAGAAGCTTTTACTAATACCAAAATGAGGTGAGTGGACCCCTGTGGCTGCTTGAAGTCACAGTATCCTGCCTAGGCAATGCCTACACGTGCTCACACACACACACACACACACACACACACACACACACACACACACAGGTACAGGCACACAAACGTACAAGCACACATACACCCACATTACAGCTGACCCAGAGTAGAGGTCTGTGCAACTCTTTTGGAATAAAATTTATTTTCAATCTTGTTTGTGTAAGGAGACAGAGAGAGAGGGGGGGAGAGAGGGAGAGAGGGAGAGAGGGAGAGAGGGAGAGAGGGAGAGAGGGAGAGAGGGAGAGAGGGAGAGAGGGAGAGAGAGAGAGAGAGAGAGAGAGAGAGAGAGAGAGAGAGAGAGAGAGAGAGAGAGAGAGAGAGAGAGAGAGCAAGCACGGGAGCATGTGCACACAGGTATCAGTGGTGACCAGAAAGGCGTTAGATCCCCTCATGCTCAACTTAGGTTGTTGTGAGCCACCTGATGTTGGTGGTAGGAACTGAACTCAGGTCCTCTGCTAGAGCAGCATGTGCTCTAAACTGCTGAGCTCTCTCTCCAGCACTACTTTCAAATATTCTTCTCAGTTAAATGTCTGGTTTCATAGTGAAGAAATAATTCAGAAAAGTGATTTAATTTACACAGACTTTATTGACCATTTAGAGTATTACTCAT